GAAACAGTAAATTCAAAAAATCGACTTGGAGTCGAGTCGAATAAACAGTAAATTCAAAAAATCGACTTGGAGTCGAGTCGAATAAACTTTTAATCGACTTTAGCCATGGAATACAGAAAGAACTCAACAAATTTTATTTTTGGAAAAGTTTTTCCCCCATTTTTCCCCCACGTTCCGAATCACAATTCAACCGACTCCTCTCCTTCGCTTTCGTTTTCGTTTTCGCTTTCGCTCAATGTAGATGTCGAATCAGCTTCACTTTCGGAGCTACTCATCTCTTCTACAACTTCTTTTGATTCGTCACATTCATATGACACAAGAAGTACATGTTTAGCATTCTCTGCTTTCAAGAGAGTTCTCCTTTTATTATTATAGATCATCCCAGCCCTACTGAAATTGTAATAAAGAGATAAAAGTGATAAGTGGTAGAAACCAACCTAAAAAACCTTTCACAATCAGTAGCGGAAGCGGGAACACAAATAAAATCTTTGGCCACATTGGCCAGTAAAGGAAACAGAGATTGGTGGTTCTGCCACCAATCATATATACTGAACGAATGTTCAGGTCTGTTTTTTTTTACATTGTTGACATACTGGAACAGCTCAAACTATAATAACTTTTTGTTTTTATTTGAATTTGCTTACTTACCGAAGCCCTCTCTCTCAATCCCACAGAAGTTGTTTCCCCAGTAGAAGCAAACTGATTCCAAAACGTGTTTGATGGAGCACGTGGTTCTCTCTGAGGTTCTTCAACTACTCCTCCTTCTGTAAAATTTATACAATCAATTTCAAACAAAATGCGAACCAGTTATAATCTGAAGCAAGAACGATTTCTTGACTTGATTCCACTCTTCAATGGTTGCCATGGAGGTGAGATAACAGTAACGAGGATCCAGAAAAGAAGCCTTCTTGTAGAACCCATTCTGGAGAATATCCTTGAACTTTAGCTGACTTTTCGCGTACAAATCATCCACGAGTTTCTTATTTTCTCCGTTGACATCTTTGCTTATTCTAAAAAGAAGGTGTCTAAGTGAGAGATCATACTCACTCACTTTTTCAAAACGAAAAGAATCATTTGTAGCATCGGTAAAACGCATGAGATGCATTCTTCACGTTTCGAAACTTGAAGCGTTGCTTCCTGATATCTTTCAATTTCTTGAGAGCAGTTCTAAGCAAATCTTTCTCAAAGGGGCGGAAAACTGGATGATCATGTTCCTCCATGAACCAATCAAACACTGTTTCCTGTTAACAATATACTTCTATTGATAGCTTATAAACCTGCATACCATGGACATGAACCGTTCAAGCATTACATAACTTGAGCTCCATCTAATTGGAGAATCAGAATAGGGAACACGATAACGAACCGAACTCTCTTGACATTTGCTGAAAAACTTTTATTAGGATCTTCCAAAATCTAAACTAACTTTTCAAATTGTGTTCTTGCCGGTGTGCTTCTTTTCAAGAACTTTATAGTTTTCCTCATTCTTTCTAATAAAGCGGAAAGCGGACTATCTTTGATAGCTGTGGAAACTGCTAAGTTGATGACATGAGCAGCGCAGTGATAGCTAAACAATAAAAGAAAAAATGATAACTAGATAGAATAGATTATAACATACTGTTTCAGTTTTAGATTAGTGAACGCTTTCCCTAAGTTACTCGCACCATCGCTTATAAATCCTTTAGTTTCATTGAGAGTTTTTATGGGCAAACTCTTCGTGAGTGTTCTCTCAATTTTTAGCGTTTATGGTCGTCCAGCTATCCGTTCCAAGAACAACATGTTGCGAATTTTCAACATCATTAAAGTTCTTCGCTACAATATCGTTCGAAGTAGATATGATGTTACGTCCTAATGTTCGACGCGAAGGAACAGGCATTGAAATCAACCTCATCATTTCTAAGAAATGAGGATTCTCTACCCCACGGAGAGAGAGATTCGACGAGCAGACAAACTTCAACAACTCCTCACTGAAATGCTTCTCCAACGATTTGACAGGTTTAAGGTAGCTGCGTATCTGTCCTTCAGAAGATGCGATGCTGCTAGTATCCGCTTCAGAAGATTTCCAGATTTCATTATGATCTTTCTTCATGTGATCGGCCATAGTGGTGGTAGAACTTCCAAGTTTGTATTGTTTTTTGCAGATGTTGCAGAAAGCAACTTTGTTAGGCTCATCCTTTTTGAAGAAATCCCAGACTTTTGATCTCTGCCGAATCGGCATCTTGTTTTATATCGGAGTTATCGATTTTTTCAACTACATTTACACTTTCGCAATAACTAATTGGTTTCGAAAAGAATTTCCAAAGTCGACTTGAAGTCGACTTTTTCAACTCGAC